AAAAAAAAAAAAAGTTATGTCCAAAAAGAAATTCTTTATTTTCCCCTTGAAATCTATTATACCCTCTTCTCTCCAGTTTGGTGACAATTTTCTCCTTCTATTTGTTCAGGCTCAAAAGCTTGATCTTGTCCTTGACTCCTCTCTCATACTCCATGCCTAATCCACAAGCAAATTAAATTCTCCTACCTTCAAAATACACATTAAGAATCCAATAATGTCTTACCTCACTGGTAAGACATCGCCACCACAATCATCTCTAGCCAGTCACTGCAATAATCTTTTAACTGTCTACCTATATCCTGCCTGTCCCCACTTCAGACTATTTTCTTGATATATTACAGTAGCCACAGTGATCTTGTTAAATACAACATAGATAATTTTGCTCCCCCTGCTCAAAATTCTTCATTGGCACCCATCTCACACAGAGTAAAAACCTTTAAAATAGCCTGCAAGGCATGACATGATCTGCCTTCTTCCAACCTCCATTCCCCAAACTCTTAGACTCCCCTGGTTTGCTAGATGTCTCCCTTCAGTCATAATGCTCCACCTCCCAGCTTCTGCAAGCACTGCTCCTTTTCTCTGAGCATTTCTCCCCACAGTGCCTTCCTTTACCACTTTCAAGTCTGATTCAGGATAACCTTTGGCATGAAGATTTCCTTAATCACTCTAGTTAAAATTGTAACCTTCCCTCCCTCAAACTGCTAAACATGGAGCTTTCCTACAACCCAGCAATCCCACTCTTAGGTATCTATCCAAAAGACATGAAAACACTGATTAAAAAGATATCTGCACCCCCATTTTTATGGCTGCTTAATTCACAATTGGAAAGACATGGAAACAGCCCAAATGCCCAAAAGTGGATGACCGGATTAAAAAGATGTGGTACTATACACAATGGAATATTACTCAGCAACCAAAAGAAATACATGTCTTTTGCAGCAACATAAATGGAGCTGGAAAAGATCATGCTTAGTGAAATAAGCCAGAAAGAAAGGAAAAATACTGGATGGTTTCTCATAGCAAGAATATA